CATTTAAAATATTGCATGGTAGAACCAGAAGCTGCTCTTCATGTTAGTGACAAACTTTGGCATTTTTTGACAGGTTGCTTTTGTTTTTGCTTCTACTTTTCATTTAAAATAGGTTTCCATTCTCGGCAGGTATCTAAGGTTCTTCTTCTACATATTAAAAAAGTTGTTAAACATCCGAGTGGCGCACTACCGCTACTAGTGGTGAGAAAGAGTATTGCACCTTATTCAAAATCAATACAGTACCGCGGTCCTCTGTGGCCCAAAGTTAAAAACTGTTGTTCTTTTGAGGCCCTCAAGGTGGCGCTTGTGGCCCACAGTTGGGCCCATGGGTTAAAATCTCTGGTTTAGAGAGTTTTGCTGCTTTTAGATGGAATCATTTTTTGTCATGACCCCATTCTGAACATCTGTTAGCTTGGGTTCCCCTTCACTAGAATGCACACTGATTCTGAAAATTAATTTGATTAATATTAAACGTGCAGTAAGGGAATAATTTGGTTGAACACCATGGCTGCAGTGGACCTTTATGTGTCACTTCTAGTGTTTTTACAGCTTCCTAAACCCAACAGACCACAACCTGGAGACGTGCAGTTGTCGAAACAAATATTTTTTAGATAAAAGGAGAAATGTTTCTGTAAACCATGTGCACTTTCTGTAGAGCAGCTTTTAGAAAAAACCCCAAAACATTTAAGTCTTTTTAGCCATAATCAGTTTCGACCAGGACTTGTTAAGACATCAAACGGTGGTCTGATTGAGTTTCCAAGTTAATTGCTCACAACTCAAGTCTTCTGCAGGCATCGGTCGAGAAAGTTTCAGACTCATTTATTTATTTTCTATGTACTCAAACATCTGCTACTCAGTCCCAGGAGAGCGGTTCTGTTTAGGGAAATAAATTTAGAGTCTTAACGTTTAAAAAACTAAAAGGAAACGTTTACAAAAAAATGGTTTAATTAGAGTAGGCTGTGAAATGGAGCAACATTTCAGAAAGGGGAGAGAATAAAACTCAAGTCTTAACAGGAAAAAATAGTCGCAATGATAGAATAAAAATGTCTTTTTTAGATTATTTGTGTGTTTGTACCCTTTTTATGTGCGGTAAACACTGAAAATTCAGCTCATGCAGCCTCTTCCTCCTTTCTTTTTCATTATGTTAAACTCATTTTCTCTTAATTTTGTAACTTTAATACACTTCAGATCAAGAGATTTTTAACAGGTTGATATCATGAAGTATTACTTGCATCTTCCTCCTCAAAATGACTTTAAATTTACAAAATGTAGATGCTAAGTGGTGGCATAAATCATCAGAACTTGTCTGAAATGTCCACTCCAGTCCTGTTTTAGCTTAGCTGTGAGCTTCCTGCCAAAAGTGCAACGGATGGCCATTTTCTAGAGGTCGACACATTCAGGGAGAAAGCAGCGAGGGCGCATTTTAGCTGTCAGATGTCCTCAGACATAAATCTGCTGCAATGACCCGACACAACCGAAGCTGGCTGTTGTTAAGTCATCTTTCGGAGAAATGTTGTAAAAATGCAGATTTAATGTCGCCAACATCTCCAGGCAAAGATTCAGCTTAAAGCCAGACACCAGGATTTACTGTTTCCCATCTCCTCATGCCGTCTTTCTCATAATAATTTGTCCGTCCCTTTGCAGAGCTCTAAATCTCCCGTCTTTCTCTCTCTCCAGTTTGAGAGGAACGACCCGGTGGACGGCCGGATCACAGAGAGACAGTTTGGGGGCATGCTGCTGGCATACAGCGGCGTCCAGTCTCGTAAACTCAAGCTGATGCAGAAGGGCTTGAAGAAGATGTTTAAGGATGCCCAGGTACGAAAAAAAAAAAAAGAAGTTTTATTCACGTTTTGAAGGAAGCCTTAAATAAATGGAATGGGCTGTTGGGTTATATTTGGAGGGGATGACTGTATTACCTCACCGGCCTTCATGAAAGGATGTGTGGCAGACGATGATGTGTTTGTGAGCCTGAAGGGAAAAGGAGATTGTGCTGGGAAATTGTTTGTGAGAGCCAAGATAAAAGGTAATACATCACCGAGAGCAGATAACACATTCAGTGCCTGATATCATCCACCTGACCAGCACTCATCTGCCCCTCCTTCTTTATTTTGTCCTGACCAAAGAAAGAGCTGTCACTGGTTAGAGGAATGGCAGAAGTTAGCTCCCCTTTCCTCTCTAAGCTCTGTCTCTCTCCATAAACAGGCTGCTGACTCCRTCCTGCTCCTGCTGTAGTGTAGTCTTCTTTCAGTCTAGTCCAACTTTACGATGACTAAATAGGGACACTCAAGAAGAAAAAGAGGTTGGATTTTATTTATTTATGTAAAAGGGACAGTGCACATTAATGAACTCGGGTTCACTCTCTAAATGTGCCAGATTTAGTCATGGAAGCTAATTTTCATCTTTAGTCCCTGGCATGTTGATGGTAAAACACATAAAAAGGAATAAGATCAGATAAAAAAAACAGACACAGAAGCTAACAGCACACATGCACTGGTAAGATCTTAAAAAATATTACAAATAAAACATAAATACAACCTACTGGAAACATTCCCATTCTATTTCAATGGGAGACAGGTCTGGACTGAAGGCAGGCTGGTCTTGTACCCACACTTTACTATGAAGCCATGTTAGAACACATGCAGAATGTGGCTTGGCATTGTCTCACTGAAATAAGCGGGACATCCCTGAAAAAGACGTGGCTTGGATGGCAGCATATGTTGCTCCAAAACCTGCATGTAGCTTGCAGCATTAATGGTGCATTCACTGATGTGACAGTTACCCATGCCGTGGGCACTAATACACCCCCATACCATCAGAGAGGCTGGCTTTTSAACTTTGTGCTGATAACAATCTGGACAGTCTTTTTTCTTTTTTGGCCTGGAGGACACCACGTCCATGATTTCCAAAAACAATTTGAAATATGGACTCGTCAGACCACAGGACACTTCTCCAGTTTGCATCAAGCCAGATGTGGTTTTGGGTGWTTTTGATATCTGGCTTTGGCTTTGCATGGTAGAGTTCTAACTTGCATTTGTAGATGTAGAGACCAACTTTGTTCACTGATAATGGTTTAATGGCTTTCTGAGGTGTTCCTGAGTCCATGTGTTATGGACTGTAAATGATGAAATCCGTATAGTCCTTTAAATTTAAACCAAAAAACATGACCATATCACACCAGCTCTGCATTCTCTTTATTGGCTTCCTGTCCCTGCCAGAATCCAGTACAAGATTGGTCTTCTGACACACCGGTGCATGCTTGGCAATGCACCCCCTTACCTTAAAGAACTGCTCCTTCCACACAATAAAACTTGTTCTCTCCGTTCTGGTAACTCCTGCCCTCTCCAAATCCCCAGAACAAAGCTCAGCACCATGGGGGACAGAGCTTTCTGCACTAATGCTCCTCGTCTGTCGAATTCACTCCCAGATCATTTAAGGGAACCACAGACTGCARAATCCTTCAAAAAAGGACTAAAAACCTACCTGTTTTGCACCTTCTATGGCCATGTTTGATTTTTTTTGTAGCACTTTGGGATTCTTCAATGTAAAGGGCCCTTTAAATCAAATGTATTATTATTAATATTATTATTATTATTATTATGAAATTGTACATTGAGAAATGATCCTAAACTGTTAGACTKTTTGCTCACACAGTTGTTCTCAGAGTTGTGAACCACGCCCCATTCTTGCTTATGAAAGACTGAGCCTTTCGAGGATGCTCCCTTTATACCCAATCATAACACTCACCTGTTTCCTTGAGCATTTGTTGGCRATGTTCCAGCAGGCTTCAAATTCAAAATGAGGGAATAGTTGCAAAAATAAATAAATAAATAAAATTAATTTGTTAGAACATTAAAAATTGTGTCTTTGAAGTGTATTCAATTGAATATAGGTTGAAAGGGATTTGAAAGTCATTGTATTCTGTTTTTATTTATGTTTTATACAACTTTATTGGTGGTTGTACAATGAAGAGGGGACAGTAAAAGATAATGTTACAATGCCAAATATTGTCATAGTTTCAGTGCTAGAAGGAAAAAAAGCCAGAATGATGACCAAAGGACCAAATCCCTCTGATACTAAATTATTAAAACAACGAATACAGTCATGTTCAGGAGCTGAGCGGGATTCACTTCCTCCTGTTTAGGTTTTAAATATCAACTTTTTTTYCTGAACTTATTTTGTCAATTTTTCCACTTCAAACTCGACACGTCAACTGTCATCTCAGAGTTAAAAAAAACGTAAGTTCCTCCTCAGCTGTTCTGCCTGAGTGACGGTAAAACTCTGCTGCGTTAGTTCCTCTTCAGCTTAACGAGCTCCGTCAGTCAGCTCGCTGAAGTTCGACCCAACAATGTCCAGTCCCTACAAGTGTTTAAAAAAGCCTCAGATGYTAAAATGTAAAGACTACAGCAACAAAAACATAGTTTTTCTATATTAAGGAGCCACAGATGTCAGGCTGAGCTACCATGAGGCGCGTTTGATGAAAAGTTGACCAATTAGTAGAGACAAGAACCCATAAGCAGCGTGATCCTCCCATTCATGAAGAACATGAAGGCTCCACACCGCTAGAGTTGTCTCCCTCCAAGGAATTAAACTGCACCCTCCCAACATTCCTCTTTCATCATTCACCCTCTCTCATGCCGCTGTCTCTCTTTCTGATTTGTGCTAATGTAAATAAGAAACATTTTATTTACCGCCAAGCACCAGATGCTCACTTTTCTTTGCAAATGAGCTCCTGAGCGCAGCAGCAGCTGTGTGTTAGTGACTCTGTTGCCACGTGTGTGTGTGCATGTTTGTTCGGCGCCGTCTGTTCTCCTGACCGTTCGCAGAGCTGCAGTCATCCATGTGTGTCGAAAGCTGCTGCCCACTTCCTCTTGTCATTTGTGTCACCGTGCCGAGCTGCTCTCAGATATGGCCCCGCGCGCTCGCAGCTCTCGTTTCGACAAAACTCGGCTGATTGTTAGCATGAGTTCAACGCTCTTATGGCCTGTTTTTCTTGGACTTTAGAGATTTTCTRTGGGATAAATCTTGTGCCAGCAGGAATTGAATTTGAATTGCTCAGATTGAATCTGGATGTGCATAATTTGAAATTGAATGCATTAGTTTGAAAAAGAGTTTTACTAAATTGAAAAGGAATTTAAAGTTTTGTATCTGAATTAATTTGCTTTGAAACTATTTTGGTTTATTAAAAATTCAATTCGACTACTTTCACTTTCAGTTCCAAAATTCAGATTTTTGTGTCACATCCTGGTCTTTGAGAAGGCCAGGCAGAGTAATCAAACACAGATCCACAGATTTATGTTTCACTTCGGTGAAGCTTCCTTTCTGTATGTAACAGAGTTGATGTAATCCACCGTAAAAGTGACAAAATATTTTATTGCAGTGATTAAATTTACCTACTGTATAGAAAATGTTACATTTACATCATGGATCACATATTGATCAGATGCTGCTGCTGACTGATCCATGATGTAAATGTAAAATTTTCTACATATAGGTAAAATTAATCACTGCAATAAAATATTTTGTCACTTTTACAGTGGATTGCATCAACTCTGTTACATTACAGAAGGGAAACTTCACCAAAGTGAAATGTAAATCTGTGGATCTGTGTTTGATTACTCTACCTGGCTTTCTCAAAGACCAGGATGTGACACAAACATCTGAATTATGGAACTGAAAGTGAAAGTAGTCAAACTGAATTTTTAATAAACCAAAATACAGTTTCAAAGCAAATTAATTCAAAACTTAAAATTCTAWTTCAATTTAGTGAAATTTATTTTCAAACCAATGCATTCAATTTCAAATTATGCACATTCAGATTCATTCTGAGCAATTGAAATTCAACTGCTTTTGGCTCAAGATTTATCCCATAATTTTCACTCAAACATTTTATTTTTTGTCCCCGTGCTTGTTTGGTTTCAGGGAATCACTTTYGAAGAGTTGGAGAACTTCTTTACTTTCCTAAAGAACGTGAATGATGTGGACACAGCCCTGAGTTTCTACCACATGGCTGGAGCCTCGATAGACAAAGGTACACCTGCTGTCACTTTTCTTTTGTACGTTTTTTAATATTCTCCTAATTACTTCCCTTTAGACCTGACTGTTGTCACTTTCATCCTCTGCCTCTCAGAGCTGTTAAAACTCTGCCAACCGAATCTTCTTCCCACATCTTTTCTTTGCTTGGCTTTGCTCCCGATCYGAACTCAGTTATTCGTCATCCRTTTGTCCATCCATCCATTAATCTACCACTTCTCCCTTTAGGCCTGCAGTACATGCACATTTAAATTCAAGAATCACTTATGCACACATGACGGATGACTTTCTGCTTACAATCCAGACTAGTGACACATGCCAGCGTCGTAACGGGCCGCTGAATGGATGGAGGGGACTGTACTGACCCATCAATTCACGGTTTCCCTTTGGARGTACCAGGAGGATGGATTTAGTCCTTTACCAAACAGATGCACTTCTCTTTTTTACAAGTATTTCAAATTAAAGGCTTAGAAGTCCTCTAAACCAGTGGTTTCCAACCTGTTCTTCTCAAAGCCCCCCTTCTTACTTCCAAGCCAAGCTSAACCCAACCCTTGCATTCCTCGCTACTGCCACCTCTTTAAAGTACCTGTGACATGCATATCCTTCAAATACAAAAACTCATAGAAAACATCTTTATACTTAAGAAACTTGGCATAATACACATGATTTTACCCATTTTTGTCACATAACTGGCCTATTTTCTTTTGGATTTGTCTCAGCCAAAGTGAAACAGGAAGTGACATCAAAGGGGAACTCATGAATAAAATAAACTCTTCTGGTCTTTGTTGATTAAAACAGTTTCATTTAAACTTTTAACTCTTCATCATCTGTGTTTGATAGTGACTCAAAATGTAAAGAAACATCAGATTCTTCTCTACAGTCTGTGTTATCAGCTGTTGTAACAATGCCCTGTTTACATGCAGACATTCCCCTTTGACATCACTTCCTGTTTCTTCACCTGCAAATATCTCAACAACTGTTCATCTCAGGGGCGTGAAATTTGTTTTGCAATATGTTATCAGTGTTATCTTTCCAAAAATGCCTTCATGTTTATTACAAAAAATTAATGTCACAGGCACTTTAAAAGATGCATTAAATCTTTGATCTCTTTATCAAAATAATAATAAAATAATGAAGTTACAAACCTTTATTTTGANCTCTTCTGGTCTTTGTTGATTAAAACAGTTTCATTTAAACTTTTAACTCTTCATCATCTGTGTTTGATAGTGACTCAAAATGTAAAGAAACATCAGATTCTTCTCTACAGTCTGTGTTATCAGCTGTTGTAACAATGCCCTGTTTACATGCAGACATTCCCCTTTGACATCACTTCCTGTTTCTTCACCTGCAAATATCTCAACAACTGTTCATCTCAGGGGCGTGAAATTTGTTTTGCAATATGTTATCAGTGTTATCTTTCCAAAAATGCCTTCATGTTTATTACAAAAAATTAATGTCACAGGCACTTTAAAAGATGCATTAAATCTTTGATCTCTTTATCAAAATAATAATAAAATAATGAAGTTACAAACCTTTATTTTGAAAAGAAAGAAAAGAACTGATTCATGCAGAGATTTAATTATTCAGATGGACTTGCTTTGGTGATCTTTATATACACAAACATTAATTAATTAATACATTAATATTTTTACAACCTCTGAGCAGACAAGATTGCCCCGCACCCCCCAATGCATAATGCTAGTTTTAAACTATTCAGACACCATGCCGCACACAAGAAAATGTGTATATTTTTGAYATTTGAAGACCTTTTAGGAGATCTGTGGACACATCGATCCATATCAAGTTATCTAAACATAATAAATATCAACATAAATGAGATTAAATTTAAATATCACAATCTGCCTCAGCACAGAATTCAGTTTTTATTGAATTCAAATAACAATCAATTTAATTTACCATCCAAACATAACATCTTGTTTCTTTTTTCTTTTTTTAAATGTTAACAGATATTTTTTTCTTTTATTGCAAAGACTTAGCTCTTCAATCAGCCTCCTTATGTGTTCTGTCTGTCCCTGTTTTTACTGGTGAAACAGCTGCAATGTAACGAGACTGAAAGGTCCACCCTGAGGTGCTACTTTCCACAATCTGCACGTGTCATCACTAACGAGTGTTAGTGTGTCTATATGTGTATTATTTGTGTTCTGATGGGCTACTAAAAACATCAGCCTCCAGGCATGAGTCGGCAAAAGAAAGATCTGCTTCCAAACTCTTATCCGCTCATTGGAACCGTCTTTTCCTGCTTAAAGGATCTCCTGTAATATTCGCCGCTCTTTGTTCTTTTTTTTTTTTTCCATCTCATCTCACACTCAAATCCAACAATTTCACACCCTTTCTCCACACTTTCTCAGATGTGGGTGTTCATTTTGGATCGGTGCACAGTGTTTTTTTTTTTAAGGTACAAAGGAGTGGACTAATGAGGTTCTTGGTGTGATTTGGCTCTTTTTCTTTTGTTCTCACACCATTTGCTTTGAGACAGTTTTTAAATCATCTGGACCTGTTTTTTTTTTCATACTTTGCCTCCTCCATCTTCAGTTTGCCTGTTGAAGCCTTAATAATTATTGTGTATCACTAAAAGGGGAGAGGAGGCGATATTGTTTATGTCCCTCTGTGCCTCATGAACCATTGGGCAAATTTGAATTAAACTCCTAGAAAGTCATCTGATTCTGCTAAATTCAAGTTGGTCACCACATCCTCCATCTTTGTTTTGTTCTTCAGCGTGATGTATTCTCTCCAGCTGTGTCTCAATTCAGGGGCTGCGTCCTTCGAAGTCTGCATTTGTCGGCCGCTTGTCATTAACTGAAAATGCCTCGATTTGTGGTCCCCTTCTTATGCAGCCCACAAAACCCTGACGGCTGCATATGAGTATCCTTTCCGGCCAATTCAAACGTTCAACAAACTAAACTCACGATTCCCACGGATCCTTAAAAAGTCTTAAAAGGCATTGAATTCATCGATCTAAAAATAAGGCCTTAATTAGCCTTAAAATGTCTTAAATCAATCTTTCAGCTTCCATACCACCCTGAACACACCAGGTCTCATCTGATCTTGGAAGCTAAGCATGGTTGGGCCTTGTTAGTTAGAAGGGAGACTGCCTGGGAATGCCAGGTGCCATAAAGCCAATGTAGGAGTTACACCCACTCTAGTCACGAGCAATTGAAAACCTTTGACCATAATAGGTCATAGGTCGCCCTCTAGAAGCATGCCCATCAATCTTTCAGATTGGTACTTAAAATGTTAACACATTGTACGTAGGATGATTGTAATATGTCTCAAATATTATAATAACTGGTAACATTTATTTATTTTTCAAAATAATTTGCCAAATACCTCTCACAGCTTGGTGTTTTGTGTTAAAATAAACCATATATTTTCTTTTTCATTAGTAGTTTTTGTGAAGTTGGTCTTAAATTTCATTTCAACTGACATCAAAAAGTCTTAAATTAAACTTTCCTTAAGCTGTAGAAACCCYGTAAACTGGAAAACAAAGATGGGAAAGTTTTTTTTAAACCAAATGTTGGCACAATTTGGAAATTTAGCACAAACTGAAGAAATCATTTTTAAATGACTGCATTAAATTTATGCTGCAATGACATATTAAATAAAATACAACAACAAGTACTGATACTGGAGCTAAACCAGGGTTCCCGCCTTAAAAGGCATTGAATTCATCAACCTAAAAMTGAATTACCGGTAGTCTGCTTCAGCCTTAATTAGGCTTAAAATGTCTTAAATAAATCTTTCAGAGGTCTTAAAAATGTTAACACATTGTAAGGATGACTGTAATTTGTCTCAAATATTAAAATAATTGCTAACATTTCTTTATTTTTTCAAATAATTTAATACCAAATGATTCAAATGCTAGTTTTTTGTGTTAAAATAAACATTTGGATAAAATTGTTGCTAGCTGGGTTTTATCCCATTTCTGTTTATTGTGAAGTTGGTCTTAAATGT